GTTTCCACGAAAATCGTTGTTCACTCATCAATTTTGGCGCTAACCATTTTTGTAGGTTTTGACAGAGGAACTGAAGACATTTTACAATCGAATTAGATATAAGCTTAGACATTTAAATGCCAACACTACCACTAACCTAAGAATAAGTTATTTGCTGTATTAATTAAAATTCATAAAGTACTCCAATGTATAAATCCCGCACATACCCGTTTTAGTAGTTTTCACCTTCTGTAGCAATGAGACGGCTCTCAAACAACAGTCTCAGTTACAATGCCTAGAAATTATCCATTTGTCACTGTTGGTTGTGCAGCACTTCTTCCGCAAAACATGTTCAAACGTCTGAACCCAGTTGTCAGGCCGTCATCACACCACTTTCCTGATAGTTCAAAAATTTAGAATCTACCATTTCCAACTAAATTTGATAAAAATGGTCTTTTCCCAGTTCCGATAAAAAACGGAAGCAGTCTCTTTTGCCTCTTCAAGCTTCTTTATTCTTCAGTTTCTTGACTTTTAAAGAAGTTTCTTGACCTACTGAAAACTGTAAGAAACATTTTTTGCAGGTGACAATTCAACAACATTTCCCTGTAGCTCGCTTACAACACTGTCTTTCAAGCTTCCCCTGGTTCTGACACAAATAAATTTTTGGTTCGCAATTTTCTTGTCGTTCTGCCTAGAAATTCCGTTACAAAATTAGTCCATTAAAAACACTATGAAAAAAATTCTTTACTACATTACTATGTAACCACCATCCTGTCAAAATAATTTAATAGCGCAAAAGTTCTTGTTTCTCAACTACATTCTTCAAATTTTTCACGAAGTTCACGGAATTTTTATCTCATTATAAACAAAAAAACTTTGCAGGAAGAAAGATTTGAAGAAAGCCACGAACAAATTTTGATTGGATTACAGGAAAACGAAGCAGATATAAAGAGCTTCTACCAAGCACAATGCGAAAATTGCTACTATCATGGCCAGAAAAAATGATGGACTATTTTCAGGACCCTAAAAAAAAAGCTGTAGTACGAACTCGACTTCATAAATTGTTGCAGTAATTTCCGAAATAAAACTGGATTTTCATAACGTTGAGCTGAAGGCAGAAATCAAAGAATATTGAGACACGTAGCAGAAAACCTATCTGGTTAGTAATGATCTATTAACTGTTCATCCGGATACTCACTGCTGGCTTACTACATTTCCATGTGCTTTTTCCTCGAAATGGAACGCTAAATCATAAGCAGGATCGCATAAGGTCGAGTTCTGAATAACGAGTTTCTACTGAGAAAAAATCTGCCACTGAGGCACTACACTTCTGGAATACGACAATTTAAAATAAACTTGCCACAACTTCCTACGCAACAGTTCTACATAACAAATGGAAGTTGGCTCTAATCGCATGGCCTTCAATTTAACGCCTCGTTCTCGGAGTCTCTAAACTTTTAGAAATACCAATTTTCAACGCATGTTGATCCCACTCATCCTGTAACGGCACACAGCGACTCATCTACTCCAGTTGAAATTGCAGTTTTGACTGGGACCAAATTCACACTTCCCAAATCTTAAAAGCAGATTTCTCCTCTCCTAAATTTTAAATTCCTCAGCCTAGTACAGGATGTTTTTGAAGAGCTTGAAAAGTCCACAATCCTGGTAGATACACCAGTTGGAAATTCAGTTACACCACCAATTAAAAATAAGTTGGTCACTTTTTTGCCTGAATGGAGCTGAAAAAAAGAAATAAAAAAGCTTTTTTATTCCTGAGTAGCTACTTCTCATAACTTTTTACTGATGCCAATCCTCAGTCTAGAGCAAAGAAATTAAGAGTCAAACAATGAAAATTTCTTGGAAATTTCAACCCTCAGTAACAGAAACCGGTTTTGGATAAAAAACGTGAACGGCACAGTTCAAATTTGCTAGCACTGCTGCAGTTTCGCTAATTGCGAAAATACAAACTCTAAAATTAGACAAACATAGTGCATCTTTTTGTTCACTGATTTATTCTTACCTTATTTTCACAACACAAACAGAAAGTAAACCTTCAGTAAAACCCCACCCTTTCCCAGTACAAAATGAGTCTTTCGGATTTCTTCTTCTTCTTCTTCAAAAAAAAGAAAAAAAAAAATGAATGCTGACAACAATTTGGAAAAATTGTTTGACCAAATAGATGCAATTAGACAGGCCAAGAAATTTTAATTTCAAAATACCATATTTCTAACATTTTCCAGTAAGAAAGAGTGTAAACCACATTTTAGACGGATTTAAGATCGATTACTTAAACTGTATCATAAAACCGCCTCTAAAAAATGTGTGCTTCCCTTACAGCAGAATGGCTACAACGTTATGGAACGATGACTGAAAAGACTCGAGAAAAATACCCACCATAAACATAAATTTGAGTTAGAGACAAATAAAGTCTTTTTTGATTCAATGTGCCTAAAAGAAAATATTCTGCGGACTAAAAATTCTATTTCACACCTTTTAAAAACGACTTCCTCTAGTTCTTCACTCAGTAACTCTAGATTAACTTTTTTCCACGGTCCACTGACAATAACAACTTATTTTTGTGCCAATTTATCTAAGTTCTGTCACCAAATAACGGGTTTAACAAAAACGCATTACTTTCATCAGTAAAATATTTTTGGTGCATAAACATATGCTCCAAACAGAACAAAGAGTGGTAAAAACACTGATGCAAAATACAATGCCTAGGGACCGAGAAAAGCCTGGTTAGAGAAATGATTCAAGTGAAGGAAGCCGAGGTAAGTGGGATATGTTGCAGGTACAATAAAAGAAGGGCTCACAAAAGACATTTTTTTCGGCCGATCAAGAGATGCGAAAAGATTAGGTGCTTATTCAGTGGAAGAGTTGGTGGAAAGATATATATATATAGATATCCTTGGAACAATACACTCGCAGGACGGAAACAAGGAAATACAGTGTTTTCTGAAATGTTCTCCAGAAAAGCTACTAAAATAAGTGACAAGACGAGGGTTTTAATTAAGAGTGTATAAGTTGATCATTCCTTGTAGGCCACTTAAGATAACGGTTATCATCATACAGATTTCATCCCGTTCGCCTACGACTATGTTTATCTGTCCCACTCGCAATCATTATCATAGTGCTCGGTGGTGGTGTTTGTCGCTATTTCGCTACAATAGTCAGCTTATTATAGTCTTGGAACATTTCCACTTTGGTTACCGTTTACTTTGGCTTGTTCCTATCAAATTAAAGTCTCTTGGATTTACCTCTTTTTTTTTTCTTGTTAAGTGCTTTAATACTTAGTTATGTAGGCCAATTTTTCCGTCTACTTTATCGTGTAATTTGACGGGTGTTTGCTAAACAAATATAGTTCCAGAAGTTCTGCTTGTCTTTTAAAGCTTCGGTTACGCAAACCTTCAAAACTCTGTGAGGGAAACGCTGAAAAACTTATAAGTCAATATCGAAAATTAAACTGTTTCTTCTGAAACAACATCTATTTTATTCTTGTAATACTTATCATATGTGTTAGTATAAGAAGTGTTCGACAACCGGCCATTCAGTTTCTGTTAGAGTTGTCGCACTATTACATTTTTTGCCATTTCAGGATAACGAGTATGTACATTTTAGTTCCGGGCTGGTTGGGTATAACATTGTCTTGTTTGGCTTTTTCGAGTCTTTGATCTGTTGATACTTCGTTGATTTTTTTATTATTTTCAAAAACTTTTTAATCTGCATTCAGTTAGTGAATGTATAATTTGTAAATGAGCTTTCTGTATCCTGTAAAGTTATTGTATTTGAAAACACTGCTTGTATTTTGAGTGGCAGGAATAGGGTACACGGAATAAAAGATTAGTGAAATTCGATATCGAATTGAAGTGAGTAATGGAGTTTGAGGGCACCAGATCTTGGAAGAAATGTCATCCTCATTTGTGATTAAGTATATTTTCTGACAGATGGCGGTAACCTGAGTTTTTTGAAACATTGGTATTTGGGACGAGAAATGTTTACGCGCTGTTGAGTAAAAGAAATTTTTGGGGATTGTTTGTCTTTGTCTTGATGGCAATTTGTGGAGTGCTTAGACTTAAAAACCATTACGGGACTTTTGTGTCATCTCTTAACAAATTAGTGGCAAAGTGGTAAAAATTTGTTAACAAAGAGGCTGAACTGTAGCGATTTTTATATTTTCTTAATGTTCTTTCAAAACTTATAGGTAAGCAGAAACGTTTATAATGCAGAACGACCAGGGAGAGTGTGTGGAACTGTATGTGCCGAGAAAATGTTCTTCATCTTCAAGAATTATTGCTGCTACTGATCACGCTGCAGTACAAATTGATTTTGCAGAGGTTGATTCCACCACCGGTAGAATGACTAACAAAGTCGTTAGGTAATTTGTTGGCCTGTTTTCACTTCATTGCGATTGACGGACATTAATTACCGCCTTTCATGATGCTTCAAATTTCATTATTGCTTAATTATTAATCAAAAAACATTCAATATAATTTTCCTTCCTCACTCTTTGGATGTCATATTTAATACATTATTTTATTTCTATTAGTGCAGCTTGAAAAAACATCTTATACATTTTTTTGCTTGGTTCAAATTCTTTGGATGAAGAAAATTAGTTTTGAAATTCCGATGAAGTAGTTCTCATTTGCTTTCTTTAGTTGTCCGGTAAGTGTGGTGTGGTTGGGTTCCAGGTTTTTTTTGGATTTTTCTGAAATTTTTGCTGTATATTCTTCCAGGGACTGGATTTTTTTAAAAATGACGGAAAGGTTCTTTTTGATGTCTTGTCAGAGCTGTGCTATGTACGTATCAAAAAAACATAAAATTTCATTTAAATTTCATTTTTTTGATTTTAAGATTGAAATGCAGTTAGATTAAATAGATGGAAAAGACTCTTCCAGCGGTTTATTTTTGATACATTTCAGGTATGCAATCTGTGGCGAAATACGTCGTATGGGAGAGTCAGATGACTGCATACTTCGTTTGGCCCAACGGGACAATCTTATACCTGCCAATCTTTGAGAAAAAGTTTTTGTTGAGTTGAATAAATGTTTTTTGTTGCAAAGTGTAAGCAGCATAATTTGTTTTTTTTTCCTTGCCTGAAGCTAACTGAAAGCTTCTTGTCAAAGTTAGAGTAAAACATTTTTGCTTGAGGACTGGGTGGTTCCAGATTTTATGTTGGTACTTATTAACAGCTTTTTGTCTATCCTTCGTTTATTGAGTTGAGGAAAGTAATATTGTAAAAAAAGTAATATTTTTTGTGATGAATATGCATTGAATAGCAAAAGTAGGTGAGTTTCTATATTTCAGTAAGGGGTGCAGTGTGTAGTATTTTTTAAGGCGGAATAAGAATGAGTAGAGGTGCTGTGTTTTTGATTTTGCGTTTTTTTGTGGTGTATAGGTCCTCAAAAATGTTTTGACCAGTAACGAAGCATTTCAATGAAGGATAGTTGGGTTCTTTCAGGTTTCTCGGAAAGTGTTTTAGTTCTGAAAAGGTAACTGGAGTTGGTTAGAGGTGGAATTTTCTAGTGTGCTAGTGAATGGTTAAAGTTGGTGGCATTTTGATCGGTGAGACATGAGATTAAGGAAGTGTGTGGATACTGAGTTTTATCTTTGTCCATGATTGAAATAAGGTGGTAGTGCGGGTAAGGGTGCTGGAGATTTAATTTTATACAAGGTTGTACGTGTTACACTTTAGAAGTCTGCGTTATTTCTCGTCAGTGATGGCAACGTTGAGGTGTCTGCTAACTGACAGCTGGTTGGCAAAAACGTAATTTATTGGCCCCCTAGTGTGCCATAGGGTTCGTTGAGCTTGATAAGTTGAACTTTTTTTCATATTTGCGCTTGAAACGTTCGTACAGTACTCGACATTGTTCATGCACTATGGGCATTTTTTTAGCAACGACAATGTTGAGAGGATTTCTGAACGTTACCAAAAGTTCTGATTAGTTGTTGACAAATTTTATGACTTTGGCTAGCGTTCAATTTATTTTCTTCAAGTTTGCCTTCTTTTTAAACTATTGGACATTTATTAGAGTTTGTAAAGGACAGTTTAGGACTGTGTGCAGACACTGTTTGGGTGTACAGTGTTTTACCGGCACAGTTTTCCTAATTATTACTCTGCACAGTGTTTTGTCGTCCCGCACCATTCTTCACTACGTTTTTCATGTGGCATTTGCAACATCGAATTAATTTCATGTTCCTCGTAAATCCTTATTCTTTTGAGCTTTAGAATTTTTTAGACGGGGTGTTGATGTGTGTTTGTTTTATATTAGTAAACAGTTCCGAAAGAAATGTTGATGTTGACACTGAATTTTATAAGGTAGTATATGCAAATTAGGTCATTAAGAGACCGATGAGATAATGTATTTGATAAAGTTGTCCGTGGTGACCTTTTGAATGAAAAAGATCTACGAAACACCGCAGGGATTATATATTATCGAGTTGTAGCCTGTGATTGTTGTCTGATAGCCGTTCAACGTTCATTCTGTTAAATCTGGATTGTTCCGCCATATTAAAAGTCCAGCTGCAATTGCTTACTGTAGCCTTTGGATATATTCCTCACCTTTGGAACTTTTTATTTTTCGTATTTTCTATGCCCTGTTTTTAAATTCTAACAGCAAAACTAAATGCTTCTTGCAATAGCGACGTTCACTATAATACTATCAAGTGTTGCAGTGAACACTGCTTTTGGTCACATTTGTTCCACACATACTTCCCTAAAAAGGCATATCAATCTATTTAAACATCGTTGAAAAGGCTGCAAATCAATTTTCAATGCTCTTTTTATTTGTAGTTTTCCTCAACAAAAAAATTGATTAGTTGGCTGATATGAGAAACGAATCATTTATTCCTCAAAAAAAAA